TATTGGTTCAGAGGTTCAGAAGGGGAGGTATAACCTAATAATATACCATTTAAAACTGATCTGATTTTAAAAGTATTATGTAGGGAAATTAACAAGTCAGGTATTTTGGCAAATACATCATCTATGAATATTATTGCAATACATACCATACTTTATAGTGATTACTAATCATTATTTGTAATTCTATTGACAGCAGTTTTTACAAATATCATTACCTCATATTAATTGTGGACTACTCTATTGTCGCTTGTTTCAGCTTATAATGACAAGATTGTTGCCTTTCTGCGACAGCCAAACGTATTTGAAATGCTACAGGAACGCCAACCCAGTTTAGCAAGAAATCATGCACTCAGGTATTGGGGTTTTTTTTGCATTAAAAAGTACCCATACACACACCTACACAAACACACATGCACACTATTTCATTATCAAATAATATCTGTTGCTATATACAGTGCAAGGAGTACAACCGCTTCTGTCATATGCAATCCAGACATTTTGGATCTTTTATATTTAAAGGTACAGCTTTACCTATGTATGAAAATTCTTTAACCACATAAGTAGGTTAAAGTCAACTTTTCTTTATGCATTACAGGGAGAAGATTCACTACATTAGAACAGAGGGCACTCACGGACTTGAGAAATTGTCTTGTGATGCTGATTTAGTTATTCTTTTAAGGTACTGTACTAGTTGGGGTGCTGTGAATATATTCAGTATGCATCACTGAGCAATTTACAGAATTCAGCTTGCACCTTTAATCCCTCTGGTGTCTTCAATTGCACCATATACTTATATGATCTGTATACCCATTGCAGGTTTTAGGGTTACTCAGATGTTCAAAAGGCAAACTGGATATTTGGGTACTCATACACAGTGGGGTTCATTTACTAACGAGCATACCCAGTCAGATGCTAGGGGGGAAAAAACAAAATGTTTGCTTGAATGTGATTGGATGATTTTGTTAGTAAATCAATCCCTAAAAGTCACCTAACACTACCCCTCTATAGCCTGGAGCTGTGATACAATCTTCCTGCGATCACAGTGTGGTGTCCTATGGCAATGAAATTTAGAAGCTTAAGGGGATGTAGAAGTCTTGTTGTTTCTCATCTTCATGTTACTTGTGTATAGGACAGCTGGCCTTCTATAACCACAGAACAGAGTAGAATAGACAGCTCATATGCATATATACAGTACAGTAACTATTGCACTAAGTTATATGTGTGTATGCTATATAATGCAAATTATTGTTAATACAAGTATGCCTGGGAACTTTAGCTATTCGTCACACATAGGGTCACAATCCATTTGCATCACTTTGAACTCATGTGGGCTAAGACCCTGCTGCTCAACCTGCCACCCAATGATCGTATGCAGCCCTTCACAAATTATTTTGTGCTACATTCAGGGCCCCTGCAGACAGCAATCTCTGGTTTTCTTATTTAATTGTTTACTCAAGGCAGTAAAGGATATTCTTTGGACTGGATTCCAATATTTAAATTCCTCTTTTTTTCTTCAGATCTTATATAATGGATCTTTCTGAGAGAAATATCAAATGTGGCACAAGTAATTTTTAAGGGGGCTGTAGGGAGAACAAATAGAAAAACACTGATTTGTAAAGGGACAATAATAGCAGTAGTATCTTGTAGTCCATTTAAGGTTTTTTTCCTATCAATGACTGGCCTCTGAAATGTGTCCCTACTAAAGCATAGAATGTCTTCTAAAGCATGCCCCCAATCTCCAACAACTCTCAGTCTCTGACAATCTCTTGCAGCGTGCCCATAGTGTTTGGCCATCTATTTTTGCAGGTCTACAGTCTCTGATAGCTTTCTGTAGCATTACATTCACTGAACATTATGTGCAGCCCCTTGGTGATGTTAGGGGCTGCACTTTAGGCACTCTATATCATGAGAGTTGACCACCACTGGGCTAAGACAACAGTACTGAGGATTTCTATGCAACAAAACAAAACAACAATAGGTTATTTGCTAAAAAGGTCAGGCCAACCAGAATACTTTTTATAATCTGTAGCTATCTGCTGCCCAAACACAGCCCTGCTGGTATACTAACTCATTGTAATGGCAGGTACAGTTTGGTGGGTATAAAATTTCTGGGTGACTTATGCGATTACATTGCTTTGAAGGGTTATTATTTCGTTTCTACAAAAACCCCATTCTAAAATGCAATGTATCATATGTAAATCACCTCCGGCACTAAGAGATCCTGAAACTACTTGCGCTTTGTTCTGCCACTGATTTCATCTATAAAGTTTTCTAAAATATATGAAATCACTTCAGGTTTCATGTTATATTGCAAGTTGCAGGTGTGTATGACATCATTTCTGTTTAATTGGTGACTTACGATGAAGGCTGAAGTGTTCAGTAATTTGGAAAACATGTTTAATCAGGAAACGTAACATTCCCACAGAATTCGTTCTGAGTTGCTGTGAAGTGTTATCTGAGTTCTCACAAGTCTTTTGAAGTTAACAGCAATCACTGGAAATGAACAGAAGCTGGATTGTTTTACAGTGAGCCATGTAAATACGGATATCATAATCAGCAGCATTTCTCATCAGTGAGTCTGTGTTTGGCATTGGTCCTGTTCCAGTTAACACTATGATGTAATTGTGGCAAAACATTTATTCACTGTGCCGAGGGAAGAGAAATAGAGATATTCATGAATTGTAAGTGTAACTGTTGTTTTCTTGACAAAAGTAATCCTAACCGGGTGGTATACATTGGACAAGGACTTTAGGAAACTTCTTAGCAGATTTATAGTTTTTGGTTTTCTGGAGAAACTGCTGTTTGTATCTCCATGTCATTCTTCATACTGAATCAGAGAATTTGCCCAGTATAACCACCCAGTTTGCAGTATAACCCACCCAGAGTTTGCATCCCTTTAGAGCAGCCTTTCTCAACCTTTTTAACACTTAGGAACTTTTGATATATATCTTTACACTATCAGAGAACCCCTGCCAATAATCACTACATCTACAACTCATGGTACATTAGCATGATGGTCAGTGGAAAAAATGCTCCCTACATTTGTGGTCATACAGATAGCCCCTTACAGATAACTTTAAAAGGTCATTGCTTACAGTGGTTACTTATCTTAAGCAGAAATCTCTTATATTTAATAGAACCCCTAGCAACCTTTGGATGAACCATAGGGTTCCACATAACCCTGATAGGGAAAGGCTGCTTTAGACGTAGAAGAGCCTTAGAAAGAATCTAACCAAAAATGAAACTCCTATTAAAGGCATACCTGAGTTTGATGTGTATCTCTATGCTGACTTCTAGAGAAAGTGGTAAGACAATACCACAAGCAAGAAATTAGACTTAATAATGTAATGAACACCTTCAAATTGATATTTTGCAAGCAAACCAACTTTCATTCTTTCACAGTTTTCAGAAACTACAGTGGCTGCAAATTGAACATTGCAAAAGTAATTTTTAATACCAGTAAATTAAATTAAACTGGTGTGTGTAGCATTCATATTGTTATGTCATTGTGTTAGTAAAGGTGGTGATTTCCTTTAAGTAACAGTGTGCCAATTATTTTAAAGGGTCCCATTTTACAAATGTTTTTAGCCTGGAATCAAACTTACACTTTGCAGCAACGTATGCAATGCATGGTTATCCCACACAACATGTGTGAGTTAATTTTGGATGGCACCCTAATGCACTAAGACAATGCACCTGAGTTGTAGGGTGCTGCCATGCACGTCAATTGCAAAAACGTCACCAGCACACCAAACCCTTATAGGATCAAAATTCGTAGATTTATTGCAAACTCATGTCAGTTACACAAGTGTCTAGAACTAGCCTTTTCTTTTTTCGCTGCTATGCATGTCAACGCATGGTAGTGTGTTGTATAAGAAAAAAAGGGGATTTTAGGCATGTTAGTTTTCATTGGTAGCACAGTCCTATTGCACAGGCTGCCTTAATGCAGAAAATGGTAACATTTTACCATTTACCATAACGCTCACTAACCCACATGTATTAGTACAATGATGTATGTTTTGTATTCACTCCTTGGTTGAAGCATCTAGACATGGCTCATGTCATCTCTTCTGCTTGCATTGATTTAAAGCAGCAATACATAGCAGATGTTGATGTTTTTAGTAGATACCAGGTGAAATCAGGTCTTTGAATGACTATTTTCTAACACATTCTAGTGCTGAAGTAAACCTGTAATGGGTGAAACATGGAGGCTACTGCATCTTACCTCTACTTTTCAAAATGCTAGTTGCCTGTCTGACTCTCTTGCTTCAGCACTGTGAGTCACCCTCTGGGAACAAATATGGTAATATGGACTTTATATTTTTGCCCAGTTCAGGAGTAGCTGCCTGTGCTCTATCACAGGATAGTCATTGCATGCACTAAGGAACATTTAAATATCTGTAACCTCAAGAAAGCTGTTCTTTCCTCCAAGGAGTTTTGCCAAACCCTTTCCCCAAACCACTGATTTCAAAGCTACCATATGATTCTAATAGCCCCAGCACTTGACGTCCCTTCATAGCTATCTTCAGGTCTATTTTATTACTTTTATTTTTAACTCTCTATGTAAAAACTTTATTTTATGCATATTACACTGGTGCCACAGAGCATTATATGTTTTCTAAAGAGAGAGCAGAACATAATCTGTTTCTTTCAGACTTTTTATTGGAAGTCTTTACAAAACCATCAAGCAGCGAGGGAAAAGGAGGGAAGGGAGTCACTCTTCTGACTTATCCAGTTAGTGTACATTCGAGCTTGAACGGTTGAGCTTTGTTAAAACAGTATTGATCCAGCAGAGAAGCTATGAATAGGCAAGTGATATATCAACATACAGATGTCTCACAACATAAACCGCAATATATTAAATAAAGTCCATCAGAACTACTTGTTGCGATCATCAATTAGATAATGTCCAAATTCACCAAAGCACACCAAGCCTCTGTGCTAGCAGTACAAATTTGCACTCACCAAATGCCGATGGCCATCATAATATAGAAAAGCCATATGTTCTCTTTTTCCTCCCTCCTCCAAGGTATATTCCCCGCTTAGTATCTGTATTCTTGGCCTGCCACCAAGCTGCTCTAATAGTATCCACTCGTGAACCTCCAATAACCCGGGGATAGGAATATACAGGCCCGTCTTTAATATTGATCGGACCCTGGGCAAACATTTTCTTGGGCCCCCCCCAGGAATTTCTCTCACCTCCCCAACACCCAGAAAAAAAACAGCACACATAGATTCTGAGGGCGAGGGAAGCCTTTGCAGAGAACAGCTGCTGTCCTCTGCAAAGGCTTGCCCTACCCTCACCCCAGGGTCGGGCCCCTATTCAGTCTTGGACACCAGGCCAGCTGCTTGCTTTTTTTTTTTTTTTAAATAACATTTTTATTATTTTCAACAAAAAAAAAGGCACAGATACAATAAATTCGTAATACGTAATACAGAGTTACATTGTATGTGTACAAAGGATATAGACATAACCTGTCATATATGAGGTCATAAAATCATAAAGCCTGTGTAGCAGTAGTGAGGTCTCCTAGAGCCCTAGGAGACCAAGGCGTAATATGTTGAACCACATACAATGCCGGTCAGGAGATAGCCTTTTCCTTAATAAGCTTATCAGCAACAATAACTCTAACATAATACAACTGGTGAGCGTAATAAACGCAACCTTTTAATTTTAAAACTTGTAAACTTGTAATCCTTTCCTCTTTTCCTCCTTTCCTTCGCTCCATTTTACGTTATGGCCGCGTACAGTCAGAGTAGGGAAACCCCACCTTAGTAAGACATGTAGACGAAAAGCTTCTTATCTAAGTATCCTTATCTAAATATCTTATCCCGTGTCCAGTTGGCGGGGTTGTAGCTTATCAAGTTTATCAAGTAGACGACATGTTGAGAATGCAAAGGGCAACAGCAGGTTTTCCTTTTCGGTACAAGAGAAAGTAAAGTTAATATATGGGAGCCACCTGTCATAAAATTTGGTCACCCCCGATTCATTTTGCAAGTGCAGAGAAGCATCTAGTCTGTCTAGGTGAAACAAGTGTAATAAGTCATCTTGCAATCTCTTAACAGTGGGGGGGGAGAGATGATAACCACTCCCGCAAAATACATCTCCTTGCTACCAACAAAGAGATGCTCACCCACTGCTTAGTTGGGCGGCTGAGGCCACTGTCTCCATTTGGGGAGGAGTCCCAATGATTATTTTAAAAATAAAAGGGTCTCCACTTGGATTCTCTGGCCTGTCACCAGAGTAATATAGGTAGCTATTTCATCCCAGAAGGTCTGAATCTGAGGACACTCCCACAAACAGTGAAGCATGGAGGCTGCCCGCAATTTGCATTTGGGGCTAAGTAGGGGACTCCCCTGAGGAAAAAAACCCTCCCTGCATGTGGGCAGGAAGGTACCAAAACATCACATTGGATGGGGTGTTTGGGACGTACCAACTGTTCCGTACGAGTCGTATGGAACAGTTGGTACGTCCCAACCCCCCCATCTAATGTGATGTTTTGGTACCTTCCTGCCCACGTGCAGGAAGGTTTTTTTTCCTGTGCTGATTGTACGGTACGACCGCGGCGGGCAGCAGGCTCAAGGGGCAGCTGCTTTGGGCCCCACAACCATGATAGGGCCCGGGGCAAGTGCCCTCTGTGCCCCGTGTTAAAGACAGCCCTGGGAATATATACTGGTTTATCTATAATATGATGGCCATCAGCATTTGGTAAGTGTGCAATGCTACTGCTAGCACGGAGGTGTGGTGTGCTTTGAAGACATTTGGTGAATTTGGACATTATCTAACCGATGATCACAATAAGTTGTTGTGATGAACTTTATTTAACATATTGCAGTTTATGTTTTGAGACATCTGTATGTTGATTGATACAGGTATATCACAGTTGGTGCCTTTGAAACTATATTATTATCAAATCATCACACATATATTTCAAATATTGGTTGTAAGGATTTTCATCATACATTAATTTACGTATGTTTGGTAGCCCAGAAGCATTATTTAAGGCACAGTTGTTTTGATGATATTCATTTTAGTATCTTTTTAGGGATCACAGTCAGTTATTGTTCTTTATTTATTTAGTTAGCAGAGTGACCTGTTGAGTTTTTTGTGATTGCACTAGTGATTATCACTATTATCCCTGCAGCTGTATAGAATTGAGCTTTTTAGGCACTTGTAGAATGGGTTTCATATTATTTTATGAATAGGCAAGTAAACACATGAAATGGAGCTACGCACATAATAGATGGAAATGTAAATATGGAATATTCATGAGCAATATTTTATTTTTTCTGACTAAATAGAAGGAAAATATAATGGTTAACATTTCATTTGTTAGTCCTGATAACATTACAAATAAGAAAAATTATGGAAAAAGACTTCATATTTCCTTTAAGGAAATATGTAGATCATACCATTTGCATAAGGCATGGTAGTCCAAAAAACTGTACATAAGTTTGAAATTAAAAATAAATGGTATTTTACTTAGAGTTATGACAACTGGATTTGGATGGTGGTATTTAATTGCCCTGAAGCTTGCAAAATACAGTATATGCATGACTGAAAATGCATTTCTGCTTCATGTACTTTTTTGCAGCCTTTTTGAAGAAGATATCATGTCATACATCCCACTACAGGCAGCCTTCCATCCGGGATACAGCTTTTCCCCTCGCTGTTCTCCGGGCTCCTCCCCTCAGAACTCCCCAGGTAATGTATGAATTGAAAGTGGAAAGTCTCATCATTTAAAAATAAATATGGCAGTTGTAAAAGTTTTTTCACCGGGCGTGCTCATTTACTGTTCAGTATATGTTAGACATCCCCCCATTAATGCATAATGCGAAAAAAAGATTTTAACCCGCCTACTTGCTACTGATACAGGTTGCATGTTGATGTTTTTGTCACCATTTTAGTTAGAAAATGTTGATCTTCATAGATCTTTCCTATGACACAACCAGCAATTTAACTGATATTATTTGTGTGTCCAAACATAATAGGCTAAATAGTAAAATGAGATGAATTTTCTGTTTCTGTGAACTTTCCTCTTTATGACAGGTCTAGATTCTCCTACAAGAGCGCCCCATTATTTTAAGAAACGTTAAAGAACACCCGATGTGATATGATATGGTCTTGCTTTGATTAGGACCAACACTTCAAAGGCTTTCTTCATTTGTGTAGTGGTGGTACAACATTTTGCAAAAGCCAAGCCACAGGGAATTGGTGGATCTATGTAGGGAGGACAAGGGCTTCACATTGCCAAAACTCTGACCAACTAATAACAGAGAATTAAGTTGCTGTGCAGTTATTCTGACAAAATTTCAGCAAGGGTCTTTGACACCTTATTTGTGTGCCTGCATCAGTGTAAGCTTTAAAGTGCTTTCATACATAAAGCTAAGGAAGATGCTTCTTGAATTGCTGGAGTTTTTTTTATGAAGGTAATTCCTACCATTGCATCTGAAATTGTATTCCCAGCAGTGAATCTTCTTGGAGCCTGTAAGGTATTGCATGCATACACTAACAGATTGACTAGATTACTTGGGATTTTGTGTACCAATAGAGGGATGAAATCATTTGACACCCAAGCCAGACTTTTTGTTTAGAAATTAAACTATTACATCATACATCATCATCTTCTTACATTTAAGGGCCCACGTTTTGCCCCTTTCTGGTATATTATATATTTTAAAGCAGGGTAACAAAATAATTACAATATTTATTACCTATGTAGTAGGCTCTCAAAGTACCCACATTGCCGAGTGCAGTATCCGCAGTGCAGAGCCAGAAATTGTAATAAAGAGTTCTCTGGTAGGTGAGATTCCTGGTACAAAGGAAAATAAGTGGTATAGTTTGCATTTCAGAACATGTTAGCTGAAATGCCCCATACTAACTCATGCAACAGGTTACTGTGTCCTTATTCAAGCTCATAGTGCCACATTCCAGGTTCTGTTTGTTGTTTCCTTATGAAATCAGAACCGCTCTCTTCTAATTTGTACCACCTCTCCCAGCCTTCAGCAGCAGCCAGTTTCAACAGCTCCCTTCTCTAATTCGTATGCAAAAATGCCACCAACTCCCATAAATTCTGATTGCTTTTAATGAAGTTGATGTACTTTTTTTTTCTGTTTTTGACTTGATCTTTCAGTACACTGCATTAAAGCTGTCCAATTATTGCCTGATTTCAACTTCACAATCAAACCAATTCTGATGGCTAATTGAGCTCAAAGGTAGTAGATTGTTTAGATTCTGCCAGTTACTTGTGATCATGTTAGTGACTCCCAATTGATCGAAAGTGGTTAATATTGACTAATAGCTGCCAGTTTAAACCTCTGTTAATCTATTTATAGATAACATTTACAGTCTACTCTTTCTGCACACAAGGCTCTTACAAATACAGACACATAAATGTAGTATGTGAAGTGTCAACTGCTTATGCCTTAAATAAAGAAGTAATTAACTTAAATGCCATTTTAGAAAGCTTGTGTGGTGTTCTGCATAAACTCTACATCCTTTTTTTTTTTTAAAGTTTGGTGTTTGCACATTGTAGAATTAAACCCAATTTGTTTTCATAAACACAGACACTTAGAGGGTTATTCACAAAGCTGCTGAACGCAGCCGAGTGAATAACCGACCCGAAGTGAAGTGAGCCGAACGCTGTTCGGCTATTCACTTCAGGCTTGTATGGCTGATTTCAACCGTACATCGGCTTGCTTCGGCTAGCTTCGGTTTGCTTATACTGTAAACTGTTGTGAAAACTATCTAGCACTTGGGAAACAAAATATGTGAGGACTCAAATAGTAAAGCTTTAAGGACACTCCCACTCACAAATATCTTCTTTTAAAGGCTTCCTTGTCCTCTTTTATTCAAAAAGAAAGTTCACAAATCCATGTAGGTTTCCCACTCAAGGTTTTTCCAACATAACATCTATGCGTTACTTGTTAAATAAACACAGAATCAGCCTCCTGGTTTCCACTTTCAGTGTGTGGCTGTTTAGACCTCACTCTACAGATTGTCTGTCTCTACTCCAGACAATAATCCAACTCCATGCTAGCCTGTATACAGAGTACACATTTGCCTATACACACAGTACACAACTTGCAGCTCCCTGCTGCTCTTGCCTCCATTCTGACTCCTGGCTAGAGACTTCTTTTATCCCCTGGGTGGAGCACTAGCCAGCAGCCTCACCATAAGGGATGTGCATGCCTACACAATCAGTGGGTACTGGTCAACAACAGGACTCAGGGTTGGAGGCTTCATCACACCTAAGTCCTTGCAAAGTCTCCAGGTTGAAGAAAACTGAAAAGCCAGTTTTCTCCCTCTGGTTCCTCTCAACCTGTATGGGTGAGAACCCTGGGTGCCCTTTAGACTTTACCACACAGTGATAAGGCACAACCCTGTCACAATTTAGAATACTTCACAACTTTGTAAATTAAGAAAAAGGAGCATCCTGGTGGGGTGAAGACTGGTGGTCATCTCTGTAAAAACCTGAGTTTTATTGGGCACAGTGTTCCCTCAAAATTTTGGTAGCAGTCTTGGACACAGAGAGGCTTTATAGAATGCCTTCTGCAGAATAAGGAGGTCCTTTGTTGTAGGGAAGTGTTCCGGTAGGGACAGATACTCACTAGTTAAAAACAGATAGGCCTTGCCCCTCAGTTGGAGAGGGTTGGAGCCCTTATACCCAGGAAGCCATATGGTGTTTTCCTTAGAGGAAGGTGTAAACTGTGGCAGAACAAATGTAGTGCTGACCAGCTGTTATGGGGAAAACTGAAGAAGAAAGGTTCAGGCTGCCTAAAAAGCTAAATGAAAAACATGCACTTTTGCTCTACTTTGCTTTTAAAAATGCCTTGTTGTTCAAAATGGGATTGATGAGGGATGCAGCGTTCCTGTAAAAAAATGTTTTTCTTTGATAAAACTCCTAAAAAAGAAGCAATTGTGTCATCTGCTACCTTAAATCTCTGCCACACAGTAAGCACCCACTACCCACAGCCTCTGTAATTCTGCATACATTTATAAATACAGGTGAAACTCGAATAATTATAATATCGTGCAAAAGTTCATTTATTTCACTAATGCAACTTAAAAGGTGAAACTAATATATGAGATAGACTCATTACATGCAAAGCAAGATAGTTCAAGACGTGATTTGTCATAATTGTGATGATTATGGCTTACAGCTCATGAAAACCCCAAATCCACAATCTCAGAAAATTAGAATATTGTGAAAAGGTGTATCCTGGTCTTCCATAACACCTCAGCAACACCACAGGCTGATAGCTTCCATGCCACGCCGCATTGAGGCAGTAATTGCTGCAAAAGGGGCCCAAACCAAGTACTGAGTACATATGCATGCTTATACTTTTCAGAGGTCCGATATTGTTCTATGTACAATGCTTGTTTTATTGATTGCATGTAATATTCTAATTTTCTGAGATTGTGGATTTGGGGTTTTCATGAGCTGTAAGCCATAATCATCACAATTATGACAAATCACGTCTTGAACTATCTTGCTTTGCATGTAATGAGTCTATCTTATATATTAGTTTCACCTTTTAAGTTGCATTAGTGAAATAAATGAACTTTTGCACGTTATTCTAATTATTCGAGTTTCACCTGTATAAGTTGCAGATAGCCTCAGCCTTCAAATACACCCTAACTTAATTTTGTCATCAGTATAAACTACTGTTTATAACTAACTGCTATGCTTATTTTGGCAAAGGGGGGCTTCACTGTCTGTGTAAACTCTGAAGTAAACATTGTCACAACATTGCATGTTCTAATGGTATATTGTTATATGTTGTTCTCCCTAGGGCTTCAGCGTGCTAGTGCAAGGGCTCCTTCCCCATACAGAAGAGATTTTGAAGCCAAGTTAAGAAACTTCTATAGAAAACTTGAAGCAAAAGGATATGGGCAAGGTCCAGGGAAAATTAAGTAAGTATGTTTTTAGATTAATAAAGTACTGTAAAGCTAGGGCCAGAGTTGCTTTTAAGTACAGCAGACCAGTGCTTATTAGGCAACACAGCCAAAGAGGCAACTTTCCCTGTATAGATATCAGCCACACATCATCAGTAGAATTTGCATTCATCTCATATAAGTCTAATACATGGATGCAATTTTTAAAGCCAGGATATAGTCAGTCAGTAAAACAAGAAAAAGGTCTGTGCAAAAGAGGTGGTCCTAGCAGAGGAATGTTGCTTTGAGGAGCAATGGTTGTCTGGCTCCAGGCTCCTGTGATGTAAATCTGGCTATCAGAATAAGTATGCCATAGTAGCCAAGCTAAGAGTTGAGAGTTTCTGCTTCAGCAGCTACATGGTGAAGGATTATGCTGTACGTGCAAACTGCTATTGTTTGTTTTGCCGAAATATCACCAAAGCAAAAGCTATGAATTTTGCTCAGCCCTATTCTTCACAAAGTTCTGTAAAAATGGCGGCACAATAAAAACAGCTTAGAGGGCATGTGGTTGAAATTGAACACTGGCCATTCTTTGTTTTTTTTTACCAGATCTTTGCGTGTCTCTGTGCTCAGAATAAAGCGTGGGGGAAGTAACCTAATGATCCAAACAAAATGTTTAACTTGTGAGCCCCCTTCATTCATTGTCTGTTGTATAGCTCATACTCTAAGAGTCAGATCTGGAGATGATAAAAAAGTAACCCACAACTGCGCTTTGGCTATCCATAAACTGGTGTAATTCACTTCCTAATATAAACATCTACTTGTATTTCTGCCTTTATCTTCCATGAATCCTTAAAATCAGGCTGCTGAGGTTAAAACAATATTCATAGAGCTTTCATCGAGCTGCTCTCACTACCTTAATGCTCCCAGAAACACTGGAAAACTACACAAATGGGTCTCCAATGAGCAGTAATTTTCATGGCTGAGTCAGACCAAGCTGACTGAAGTAATCCTCGAGAGAACTAGCAAGTTATAAATATTCTGGCCTTGTTTTCATGGAGCTGCTTGTAACGATTCATGTACTGTACAAAGACTATGCTTTATACAATAGGGTCTTTGTGTGTTTGCTATTCATTTTTATATTTAAAATGTACATTTTTAAGTATGTATCAGCGGCACCTCACGTGCATAAAAGTTTAACAGCAGAATTGGTTTCCTGCACGTGTAAATGTCTTCAAACATTTATGGTCTTTTCTGCTTTGACGTCTTCATTGTGCTCTGTGAGCATGAACGTTCTGTTGCATGATCGTGCTATGTATATGTACTACTGGGGGAGCGGGCAGCCAATTAATTAAAAGATCCAAGCTACCCAATCAACTAGCCATAGGTGCTTGCTGAGGTCTGAAGGTGCCATATACATCCAAGTGTGCTAACATTTCAAATATGAAGAAAAAGTCTGGAATCCCAGAGATATCAACTGGCCATAGGTGCTTGCTGAGCTCTGGAGGTGCCCATACACATTCAAGTTAGCTAACATTTCAAATGTGAAGAGAAAGTCCCAAATGCCAGAGAGAAAATAAAGTGGCATGAAGTGCTTGCCGAAGTCTGATGGTGCCATATACATTCAAGTGTGCTAAAATGGTAAATGTGATGAGAAAGTCTGCAATGCCAGAGAGAAGATGTGTCAAGCAGCACACCATTTATGCCCAGACAAAAGGTGCACAAATTAGGGCAGTTCACTGCCCAGCAGTCTAAACTTGCCCAGCAGTCATTTTTGCCAGCCTTGCTGATATAGTGAAGCAGTGTAGTCTAGGAAATCTGACAAGCCTGAAATGAAGTGCTGAAATAGTACGGTACAGATTAGCAAGGACTTTAACCCCTTCGTGACGGGAGACGTACACTGTACGTCCAGCCACAAAGGGACCAAATGACTTGTCACGTACACTGTACGTGACAAGTTATTTGCTGCTTTAGAGGGCTGTTAATCGCTGAGAATCAGCTTTTAACATTCATTAATGGCTGCCCTTACTACAGAGGCATTCATTAATGAAAGGGTTAACCTTTTTCAGACACCCGATACCTTAATATCGGGTGTCTGAGAGTCAAAGCAAAGCGGACACAGATGCCGGCTTTTGCCGGCATTCTGACAGCTCGTATAGATCGAGAGATATCTCTCTCAAGCTATACTGGCTTTTTTTTTTCTTTCATGAATAGATACATAATGTGTCTATTTCTACAATGTATCTATTCCTGGAAGAAGAATGTTTGTTTGCTGATCGTTGTTGCAACAATCAGAAAACATTTAGTAACAGCTGAATCCTGAACTGCTGCAGGATCAGTGTCACTAACTTATTATCGGCTGTTCTGAAGTTTGAAGCAGCCTGATAATAACCAAAAATTTATTAATTTATCATGCAGTAACAGTGAGATTAATTCACAAAATCTGCTTGATATAATTAAATAAATAAAATAACATTTTTAAGTTAAAAAAAAAGTGAAAAGTGTAAAAAAAAAAAAAAAATGTGAAAAGTGTAAAAAAAATAAAAAAATGTGTAAAAAATAAAATAAAATAAGGGACAAATAAATGAATGTATTTATTGCATTTTTTTAGCTGTGCTGGTTTTGTAAAAAAAATACTACAAATCAAAACTGGGAAAAAAGTTTTCTTTTTTTAACGTTTTTTTCCTCTTTTTTTATATTTTATTTGTCCTAAGTGAGGCGTTAGACACACATATGTGATATAAATATGTAGCCCTATCTGTCCTCTAAAAAACAATATATAATATGTGTGGGTGCACTTTGTAAGAAAGTATATTACTGACGTGGAAGAATCACACAGCAAAAATGTCAAAAGTGTGTCAGTCATTTACGAACAGAAACTAAAAACAAGCTCAGTCATGAAGGGGTTAAGAAGAGTGATGTGTGGTATGGCACTTCATATTTCAGTGTTTTCAGCTCTGTCTGGGTCCTCCCCTGCTGGATTACATCTCTCCTCATCTTCATAATATGTGAGGCAGTAGTTCTATAGCTTCAAGGAACAATGTGTGCCCAGCTGTACAGAGATTTTCCAAAATGCTTGTTACTACCCTTTAGGAAACTACTTAATAGCTGGGTTGTTGGAAGCAAAGCTTAAATGTGTTGTATGTACAGTATCAAAACGAAAACAGTGAAAGCCAAAGTCCTAATAGCAAACAGTCAGGATTAATAATTCATTCACTGGGAAAATTAAAGAAGGAATCTGTTCCTCTATTTTCCAGATTTTATTGGTCACTGGTCTTCCATAAATAGAAATGCTGAATATTGATCCAGGTCTCACAGTGCTGGCAAATGCTTAGCTCTTTTTTTTAAGCCAATGAGATATAGCCTAATGAGATACATCCAGTTCTTAAAACAAATACCTTTTTTTCTTATTGTTATACTATCATACTAGTAGTGTGGCCATTTTTAACCAGCAGAAATGTAGAAGGGATTTGTTCCAGGACTGTAGTATAGTTCCTCTCCCCTGCTGACAAGGGAGTATAATGCTCAGTAGTTACATACCAAGAAACCTAGGTCCAGTTTACAGTAGCTGTATAGTTATATATTAATATTATTGAATTTTTGATGTGAATATTATTTTACATTTACATCGTACTGCTAACTTTAAACCAACAATAGCATCTGCCAAAGAGGAGCTTGCACCCTAATGTCCTAATCACATTCACACAGGCTGTTATTATTAAATGAATATATAGTTGTGTCATATTGTGCAGTGTTTTATATTGAACAATGATCTATTCAATAATCCATCACTTTTTGCACCAGAGGTGCTTATGTTACAGTCACCAGTCACACATCATTATTCAATATTACCTCATTTAACACTCATGATGTATAAGTAACCAAGTATTCAAGCACAACCACATCAAGCAATAAGCATAACCTTGTTTTGCTATTATCTGCCTTTGAAACGCAATGATTAAGTCTCCAATTCTAACAGTCTATTTGCTAAACAGAGCACCAATAATCCCTTTTAATGTCATGCCATTGTCTTGTCTGCTCAATACGCTGTCTGTGTGTTCTTGTATTAACATGGACAAATTGGTTTCTGATTTAAGTTAATGAGATTGAACAGAGGTGATATAAATAATGAATATTGTTGAAGTTTTTATGCAGACTAGAACATAAGTCCAGGCCAGAGTCAAAGCTATGAGTTAGAATGTAAGTGATACGTTTTACTTTATGACAAAGCTAGTAGTTTATTAGCTTCTCTCATCTCCAAAGGAAGCATCTGCTGCATGCATTAGGTATGAGTCTTGGGATAGGGTGTAATACATTATCTAATACAATATCATCTTTATTGGTTTTTAAAAGCAGAGTGTTAATGGAATCATGCATCTATCAAGATAAAAGTAATTTTATCTTTGTACTGAAAGCTGAAAAAGGTAAAATTCTTGCAAGTGTTCTAATTATTATTCAGTGCAAATACTGTTGATTCAGAAGAAGTTAATCTAATAAGCCACCTGCCATTTTAACAGTGGGGAACAAAGGCTTCCTTACTTTGTCAAGTACCATCAGATTTACTGAATTAGTCAATGACTGCATTAATCTATCTACAACTACAACCACCGAAGAAGCTTTTTCTACAAGGAAAGGTATCCAGTCTACATTTGCTCACTTATTCTTAACCATATTATTTTGCACTAATACTTAAAGTGTCTGCTATACATTAACACAAATAAAGTAATTTAAAATTGAACCTGTCATGGCCTCATGGACTTCAGCATGCTAGGCCTGCCTGTCAATGTATATATTTGGATCTATCATGGAGTTTGAAGCTCTATGTGGGTGCTGAGATACAAAAGGCAAAAAAAAAACAATTGAACTGTATCGAGGGGAAACACATGTACATTTGCACCATGATGGAAGTGGAACACAGGGGTGGTTGATTCTTTGGAAACTGAGTGGAACTCATGTTAAACCAGTTTTGAAGGCTTGCTCCAGTAATTATTGCGACCATGCAACAGAAAAGCAACAGAAAAGAAGGAGACTAGTGAGTGTATACCCCTGAAAAGGGGAAGATTGCAAGAATAGTGAAAACACTGCTCATTGCCATTTCCCCTAATGCCAGCCATCTGTGATATGACCTTAAAAGTACCTATGAGTATCTGCAATGCCTGAATATGATGTTATAAGAACTGTTTTGGAAGCTCCCAATAAGGACTGTTCACTTGCTGAGGAATGCCACTGTAACTGTTTATTTCCCACCTGGGAAGCATTGTAGGTGTCACGTACCGTGGTGCGGGCCCGAAGTGATAAGGAGGACCTCCCTTGCGGTTCCGTCTGTGGAACCCTGAAGTGTAACAGGGGGCACAGGCAAGAGCAGCACGGGTGCCGGTATGAAATCCTGGGTGCCGCTGAGCGGGATCAAGCACTGTGGGAAACAAGGATAGACAGAAGCAAGTTAGGTTAACAACCAAGGAGGCAATACTAGTAGCCAGCAGGATCCAGCGAGTGGTCAGAGACAAGCCAAGGTCAGGAGCCAGAGAGGGGGAGTATAGCCAAATCAGAATCCAGAGAATGGTCAAGGACAAGCCGGGGTCAGAAGCCAGATAAATACTAAGAGCAAGAGCAGGGTCCAGAGAATAGTCAGGTACAAGCCAGGGGTCAAATATAATGCAGAACACAGCAGGGAACAGAGCAGACCTGAAGCACACAGGCTGAAGAGCACTCAGCAATGACTGGGAGTGCTGTGCCTCCTTTTATAGCCCTAGTGACATCACTGGGCGGCGTCCTGACGCACAGGGGCGTGTCCCACCAGCCCGTCGCGTCACAGGTGGGCGTGCCCTGCCGGGCCTCCTCGTCATAGGTGGGCGTGCCCCGCCGGGCCGCCTCGTCACTGGTGGGCGTGCCCCGCCGGGCCGCCTCGTCACTGGTGGGCATGCCCCGCCGGGCCGCCTCGTCACCGGGTGCCGTGTCCCTGCATCAGACGGCCCAGCCAGGACCGGACCGCGGCCCGAGTCCCGACAGTAGGTTAATGTTAGGAGACTCCATGTGTCCCTGGTCTATCTGTGGGGACACAAACCCTTTTAAATTGTTCAGAATAGCATGCAGTCTGCACAAATGCCTGCTCTAAAAGAAACATCTAAAATGTAAGAAATATTTTTCAAAAAATGTATTTCTAGATATGCTGTGTTCAAGGGAACACATAACAAACATATAATTTATATCATTGGGTTTTCTCAAATTATTCTGCTCTAATGCTTATCTGCCTTTACTACCCTGGAATATTCTGGTTATAGCTTAAGGTGAATCCTCTGCTAAAAAGACAAAGGGGTCTATTCACGAAGCAGCCGGAGGATCTAGCCGTAGCTTCGGCTGATCCTTCGGCTAGCTTTGGCCCCAGGACCCCTTCGGGTCGATTCACAATAGCCGGTACAGCTCCCGAAATTAGCCGAGCGGCTCAATCGAGCCGAAGGCATATGCCTCGGCTCGGCTGAGCTGCGCTGAAAGCCGAAGCTGGCCGAGCAGCCTGCTTCTGACAGCTGGGCGGAGCCAGCCGTGATCTTACGGCTGGCTCCAGTCACTTGCAGAGAGATCAACGTCCCTGGTTACCAGCTAACCAGGGACACTGATCTCCAGACAGCAAACTCTCCTGGGCGCTCTGGGAGTCTCCCGCACCCGGCTGCCCAGGAGAGAAACACTGATTTTTCTTTCTTTTCCTTTATTCTGACACAGAGCCGTGTCAGAATAGAAAAAAATAATAATAATAATTTTGCCCATAGGAATGCATTGCTAGATTCCTATTGGCTATTTCAATTTGCAATAGCCAATAGTAAACTAGCATTGCACCCGCCCCCTGCTGATGGACCTGATGGAGAACTGCAGCAGAGGGCGGGTGCAATGCTAGTTCACTATTGGCTATTGCAAATTGAAATAGCCAATAGGAATCTAGCAATGCATTCCTATGGGCAAAAATGTATTTATTTATTTTTTCTATTCTGACACGGCTCCGTGTCAGAATAAAGAAAAGAAAGGAAAAATCAGTGTTTCTCTCCTGGCCGGCCGGGAGCGGGAGACTCCCAGAGCGCCTGGGAGAGTTGTTTTTTTCCTTTTTTTTACGGCAGCAGAACTGCCGGCCAATAGAAAACTATTGGGCGGAGCTAGCTGTCATTGCTAGCTCCGCACAATCGTTTTCTATTTTTTTTTTTTTACTTTTTAAACTATTTTTCTGTTCTGCTCGGTCCATTTGAGGGACCGAGCAGAACAGCCGAGCCGGATGCTGCTCAGCGGCATTCAGCTATTCACTCACTGCTGTTCGGCATCTATAACAATAGACCGAACAGCAGCGAGTAGCCTGCCGGAGGTTTGGCTTAGCCGATCTAGATGTTGGATCGGCTGAGTCGAACTCCTGCACTTCGGGCCAGCCGAACATGCTGAGCATGTTCGGCCGACCCAAAGCCACGTGAAGCCACCCGATGTACGGCTGATTTCAGCCGTACCAGCCTGAAGTGAATAGCCGAACAGCGTTCGGCTCACTTCACTTCAGGTCGGTCTTTGACTCGGCTGCCTATGGCAGCTTAGTGGATAGACCCCAAAGTCTTCAGGGACTAGTTGTAAATGATTAATGTACTCCTGTGTTCTGTTAGTCAAGCCTGGATGTTATTCCCAATTACGTAGTGTGCATTAAATCTGTCAGCTCGTGACAATGTCTTTGTCAATTCTACCACTCTGGATCTCAATACTTCTTATTACATTAATAAATAAATGTTCCAAACTTTTCATACCAGTCATATTTCCTATACCGGTGTGCAGTTTGAACAGAAAACATACTTTGTTCATGGTACTGGTTTTAATAGTTTTGTGTATAAAAATACAAATTCAGAGAAATATTTGGTTTTGGGATCAGGGGGGAAGGATTAGAACCTATGCGAGGTTTTTTTGCCATCTGCAGAGACGTCCCCTTTCTGGTGAGAGAAGGTCAGAGGGCCAGGTGGTGATATGTCATGGAAAATCTCTAATATAGGGACATAAACAGCAAAAACACAGGGAGGTAAAGCTTTTAATATATGTGTAGTTTTCAAGCTGTGTCTGCGTTATGTGTTTTATGAAAAGAAATGTTTGGTGTATGCCTAACTAAGCAGTTCATTTCCTTACTTTTTTTCTGTATAGGCTTATTATACGGCGTGATCATCTTTTGGAAGGCACGTTTAACCAGGTTATGGCTTACTCCCGCAAAGAGCTTCAGCGAAACAAGTTATATATCACATTTGTGGGAGAGGAGGGGTAAGAAATATTGAAATACTCAAGAACTGAACTTAAAAAAGATGGACCAATGGGATCCATGAGATCCAAGTATTTGGTACTCAAGCTAAACTTTTGGATTAGCTTTTTTGGTAGACACTTGTGTGAGTTATGGGGAGTGTTACTCATTTCTTTGGGATTTAGGCCCTGATGTGGCTACAACAACTTCATAAAGTAATATTCAGCGAAGTGACATGGCATTAGATGTTGTATTTGTTAAAAGGTGTTTTAAAGAAGTCAGTAAATTCCCAGACTGCTTGGCACACATTCATGAAATAGTGAGTCCTTCTACTGCTGGTCCCAACCTTTTCCTGAGACACAGAACTGCAGGCAAAGATTTTACCTGCAGAACCACCAGCTGGTGTAATCTGTAACTTACTTTAAAGACAACCTGTGACTTGGGATATGGGAGATTCTATTTCTGGCTTGTTTTTGGAAAACGTAGGCTCCCGGGCTGCCGTCTTTATCTTGTTTCAGGTCTGTGACAAACAGTAAAGGAATATCTTCACTACTTAAGTCACTGACCTTGAGCAAGCATGTGCATATCTGGTGTCCCAACATTTCTGTGGCTGCATGCTTGTTCCAGGTCAGTGATAGCTTGCACCAACAAGTCAGCAATGAAGCTCCCATGTTTCTATTCTAAATGGTTTCTTTTCAAACACTGTGATTCTGAACGTTGTTTCCTTGAAGGCTATTGGGTTTATTGATAAAAAAAATTGCATAGCTATTTGTCCAGCAAAACTGCATGTACATTGTTTCTATGCAAATTAACCAGCTGTTGTAAGAATTAGTAAACATTTAATATTTTCTCTTCTGGTTGAATGTTGTTCAAATATTAAGGGCAGTAGTGAATTGGAAAAATACCACATAATGGGCCATTATATGGAGCTGAGGGTCATAAGAAATAAATACATCTTAGTATATAGTAGCAATGGTTACATTTATCTGCTAATTCCCTCCAGTGTTCTCCTAAATGTTACATTGTTTCACTTGTTACTGGAATGTTTTTATTTCTTATGATGCTCAGCTCTATCTAGTGGCCATAATGTAGCTTTAAATGCAATGCAAACACCTCTCAATAAGACCTGCTGTGTCTACAGAAACATAACACAAAGCAGGTCGAATGAAGCTTTAGAACTTTCATCAACACTAAACCTTTAGAGCAGTGGTTCTCAACTCGTGGGTCATGTGGGTCCCGAGGTTACACAGGTTGAGAACCACTGCTTTAGAGTAAATGGGAAGCTTCTGGCCTGAGTTTTGCATGCATTCCAAACACACTTCAAACATAGGAAAGCAACACCCATCTACACAAGCTTTAAAGCATTTTTAATGGCTAAGTAAATATCATTTCTATTTCTCTTTTAGCCTGGATTACAGCGGTCCTTCAAGAGAGTTCTTCTTCCTTCTCTCCCAGGAGCTCTTCAATCCGTACTATGGTCTATTTGAGTATTCAGCAAATGATACATACACTGTGCAAATTAGTCCAATGTCTGCATTTGTGGAAAACCATCTTGAATGGCAAGTACAATTTTATATGATCATGTATCATAGTTTCTCGATTCTTTATAGTGTTTATTGCTATTATGATTATGATAAGTTAACATTAGACATTAAATGATCATCAATTTTGCCATTTTTTATTGACCCGGGCGATGATGGGTATATATTTGGGTATCCTTAGATTAAAAACATTTCAGCCTAATAGGCTTAAAGATTTAGTCAGATCTACAGCTGTATGTTATTTCAGCCTATAATCCAGTGAGATCATAGTGACGCCAGGGATATGTTTTAAGCAGCCAGAGGAACACACTTGTATAATAACAACATGCAAGAATGTGAAATTTGGTTATAATAAAAAAAATAGTTCTAGTATTTTTTGAATATATTTACACTATGTAATATCTCTGGTCTACATTCGCTTAATAAAGCAATTTAGCTGTCATTTTAGTTACAGTAATATACCTGTCTAGGTATAATTATGCCTCAACATTATTAAAAAGACTATTCTCCAATTCAGCTCACTTCCCAGTTCAGCTATATTTTCCTAGATTGTTCACTTCTCCTGCCTTCTCCAAACTTCACACCCTTTTGTGAAAAACCCTGATATATATAAGTTACCTTGAATAAAGCTAAAAATATATTTACTTTCATGTTTATATATAGCTGAATGTGTAAATATAAAAATAGTTTGTAGAAAAGTTATTATTTACATTTATAATTAATTTTAATTCTTCAATATTTGACCACAGGCAGCAGCTTATCTGCGGAGCCTGGATGGCTCATGGATTCGTGCTTCAAATGCACAGGCATACACAATTTATTTAACAAAAGGGAACAGAGCGCCACCTCCGTGTGTAAAATCGTTTATTAATAAATGCCATCTTAGATCTAATTGTGTGGACCGGAAGTGATGCAATCTGCATCGCTCCCGGTCCCATAGAACGGGGAGGGGATCGATGAACGGTATCGGCACTGATACTAGTATCGGTGCATCCCTAATTGTTACCTCCTTGAGGGCAAGAACTGATGTAAATGAACAATATGTAAACTGCCAGTGCTATGTAAATGCTTGTAATAAATACCATATGTGCTCTATACACTTGTAATGTGAAAGGAGAATTGCAGAAGGAGGACAGCCAGGGATGTTGCAGATCACTACTGATTTATCAGCAGGAACAATAGGAGTTGGGCCAAGTTATTTCAACTCTCTGAGCACTCTTTTGCCTGGGCAGCCATTGTTTTATCACATCTATTAGTACCAATAGACAGGACATATACAAGTAGTGCAAAGAACAATATGCAAAGTGCAGTAACCAACACCAACCAATGAGATTATATTCTCCTTTAATTAGATCCCCAAAGGATGGATATTGATCAGTTAAATAAGTGTGATTGTTTGAATGACTAATAAACACATTGATTCGTCAGACCTAAATTGCATGTGTAATACAGGTGGCGAGATAACATAAGCGGGAAGATAAGATCCACATAAAAACAATTGTAACACCTCTTTGCGGCATCTTGGCACAGTTGATTTTGCATAGTTAGGCCTTCTAACATGTAATCAGATTGCGCCCCCTTTAACACCATTTGCAGTTACAACATTTGGTGTACCTCGTCAGGTTTTTTTGCTGTGTTCCTGCTAGAGAGCTACACCCTTTTTCATTAAGCTAGTAACCATTAAGTCACTGGAACAGGAGGAATCCTCCAATGGGAACAATTTTTGTAGTGACAATTCTCTAGACCAGGGGTAGGCAACCTTGGCTCTCCAGCTGTGCTGAAACTACAAATCCCTTAAGGCATTGCAAGCCACAGGCATGACTCCCAGAGGCAGAAGCACAATGTGATTTGTAGTTTCAGCATAGCTGGCGAGCCAAGGTTGTCTACCCCTGCTCTAGACAAAAGGTGTCCCATACTTTGGGGAGATTTCCTCTCACTTCCTGTTGTGTCTACCAGAAAGTAAAGGTAAATCTCCCCAGTTGGTCACAGATGGTGAAATAAAACTGACGGGGGGTGACACTAGGGAATTCTATCTATTAAAAAAAAACCACATAGCTATTCAGCTAAAACTGCATGTACATTTGTTCTGTGGGAACTAACCAGCTGCTGTGAGAATGGGGCGAGATTGAATGTTCTTAGGCCATTTTCTTTTCTGGTTGAATGTTCTTCAAATAATTTGGGCAGTAGTAAAAATAGGTTCATTCATATAGAAACATGGATCAGGACAATACCAAATTATGACCACTAGATGGAGCTAAGGATCATAGAAAATAAATACTGTACATCTTAGTGCAGCATTATTATTATACAGGATTTATATAGCACCAACAGTTTGCGCAGCGCTTTACAATATAAGGAAGACATTACAATCACAATACAATTCAAGACAAGATAGTAGGGAGGGCATTCTCCAGAATTGTTACATTGTATCTCTTGTTACTAAGATGTATTTATTTATTAACAGTATTTGAAGAAGAACAATTGACCAGAAGAGAAATTGCCTAATTGCCTTTCCTGCTATTATGGCAACAGCTGGCTAAATTGTGCAGAATGAATGTACATGCAGTTTTGCTGGATGAATAGCTATACACATTTCTTTATAAACAGACACCTAGATGTCACCTACATGTGACTTTAGTTTTTACTCCTGCCTTGTAGCTGACAGATATAACGCAACAGAAACAGTGTCCGTATTTAATGTAATATTAGGAAAACACATATTATGGCCACTAGATGGAGCTGATAAACATAGGAAATAAGTATGTTCTTCCTATGCTTCTCAGCTGTATCTAGTGGCCGTAATGCAGTCTTTTCCAATATTACATGTGATGTGAAAAGAAAATATACTAAGAACATTTGTATTTTTTCTTTCATTCGCACAGAATTTTTTGCAATTTTGCAAAACAAATGGCTCTGTGAAATGTTTATAAATATACCCCTATGTGTGTTGTTTACTGAAGCCATATGATTGCTTTTCCTCCACTCCCTTCTGCACGAAGGACGGGAATAAGCTGAAGAGTTGTCACCATGACAGGTGACTAGCTGCGGCAGTCACATGACCTGCACAGAGGAAATTTTAAAAAGGGGTCTGAGCAATTTATATTTCAGTGTTTGATAAATGGAATGTATCTTCTGTGCTCTTCATTATACCAGGGGAGAGCATTTGGGCTTACAATCACTTTAAGCTTCAGCAGTCTCTAAGTTGGGAATGTTATTGTTCACCTAAAATATTTGTGTCCAATAATTCAGTCAACGTATTTACTCAAGATCATCTGTCAAAGCAATAACATGAGGTTTAACTGCCCCTTAGCTTGTAAGTCATCTTCAATAGAGATGGCAGGATTTACTGTACAGAGCCATGAGTTCATGGAAATTTGCTGCTGGTTAAAACCCAATGACCTTAAAGTCATAAATCTTCTTTCCAGCATCTGGAAAGGCAGATTGGCTCATTGATTCACAAAAACACATAATTAGCACTTTATATTTCCTTCAAGACTTTCCAGAAATGTTGGCTACTTTTCCCAGACTGTTGTTATTAAAGAACTTGCCCATTTTATGGTATGTTTCGGGTAGTTTACTTGGTATGTTGCTGTCAAAGCACATTTTAGCTCTTGCATATGACAGACCATCTGTCAATTTGATGACCCTACTGCCAACACCACTAACGCATTATAATGTTTATACTGCAACAGTATGCTCATATGTATAGAAATATGTACAATTCTCTTCTAGATAGTTCAGAAGAGTTTATCATTACAGTTGTGGGGATATTATGCAACTGCTTTATTTAAAGCCTATCTCCGGATAAAAAAAATAACTCCCCCTTGCAGTGGGGCTAGCCCTACACTACAAGGGTTAACTGCTTAATGATGGACACTTCACAGCATGAGCAGAGGGGAGAAAGGTGAGCAGCCGGGGGATCTGGCAAGTTAAACTGCTTTAAAGAATCCCCCTAGACATAAAAGTTAACCCTTGCATTGCTGGGGTAGCCCCACTGTAAGGGGAATTTTTTGGTATCCGGAGATAGACTTTAAGGGTAAGAATATGTCTCTCTTTCTTGAGTCCATGCCTCTTTAACATCCAGATTCGTCTTCATCACTGATTCACCCAGTATTACTCCCAGTGACATGATGTACTCATGTTTTTATGACCCAACAATGAAAAGAAAACACAAAGAATAAAGGACACTGACGGAGTGCATCCAGCACAGCTTTGTAATGTCTATCCACAGTGAAAAAAAACTTACACATACCAGATATGTCTTGCGTATGCATCCAACAGTTGGAAAATAAGAAACCTCATACATATCTATGCATGTAGTCATTTTTCAGTTGGCTATAGCTCTTTAGTTTTCCAAACCTACCAAAACCACAGGAATGTTTGATGGAAAATGGATTTCCGTGGTCAATACCATTGATGTACAGTTGCAAACTTATGTCTTTTAAATAAAAATTAAAAAACAGTCAGTGTTGTCTCTGCATTCACAGTGAAGACAAGAGGGGACAAATGTATAGGTCTGGACTGCAAAAGACACTAAGTGTAAGCCATACATTGACCAACAGACATTGGTATAAAATTATCATGATCAGTTATTATATTGATTATCAGCATATTATAGGAAAATTAACTTGATTGCCTAACCAATTGTGATAGGTGTATATCTACTTTCTAAATCTATGTTTTTGTGCCCTAGGTTTCGGTTTAGTGGGCGAATACTTGGCCTAGCTCTTATTCACCAGTATCTTCTGGATGCCTTCTTCACAAGACCGTTTTATAAGGCTCTTCTGAGGCTGTGAGTATATGCTATTCAGGATATTTACTGTTAACAGAGGAACCTATGGACTGGAAGCAAAAATGTCTTTTAGAATATAAGATTTGACTTTCAGTCTACTAGGTTCTATTAAGAGCAATGCAAAGTTAAGATACTTAAGAACCAACTTCTATTAAGTATAGAAACTGCAGCAAACAGTGTGAATTGCTGTACACTTTTCCAGTGCAATATATTTATTTGTAGTTTAGGTATATTTTTTCACAGTGTATCTAACTGAAAAGCTTTCCCAAGGTAAAAGCCTTGTTTCCACATGTGCAAAGACTAATAATGGATTGTAGGATAAGTAACAAACCATTAAACTATATACAGTTATATACAGTTAACAATGATGTTAAATGTCCTAGTAAACATCTTGATTCCACTGGAATGCAAACTCTGTGCATGTTACTGTAAGGATACTGAAAGCTAATAGCAGGTACTACGTTGAAGCACCCAGAGGTGCCTGCACATATATACAGTGGATTTAAATATCTTCTACTTTAATGGAATGCCAGGCTTGTCTTGATAGGCAAAGCTCCAACACTTAAGGTTGTGTCAGAGCTTGCCACTATCTCAAACCCCCCCCCCCCCCCACACACACACACACACACACACAAAAACACACAGTAGTTTAGTTTTGGGTAGAGAAGGGAAGATTTAGAACCCCTGTTATGTTTTTATTGATGTATGTGTTCCCCTGGGGAGATTCACTCTCTATTTGACCTGGTGACCATTGCCACCTAGACACAGTGATGAGAAGTTCAAAATTTGACATTTGCTAACATAAGAGGTAGTGTGAAATCTTCCATTGGGACATTTGTTTCAGGGACAACTATCTAAGAGAGGAATTTTCCTCACTTTGCAGAGTTTTCCTCTCACTTTCCTGTCGTATCTCTGGGGCAGGAAGTAAAGACAAATATCCTTAACAGTACACAGATAGCAAGAATGTGGGTTTAACCCTTCCCTACTCCATCGAAAACTACAAAACGTTTGGGCTATAAATACACTTTAAAATGGGCAGGCACCTCTGGGGGGGGGGCACTCCATACCTGGCCGCAGCTTTTAGTCATCTCTAAGTGACAGAATCTATTTAAGAACACTCAACACCAAGTTTTTTGTTTTTTTTTTAATATAAATTCTTTATTTTGTAAAGAAACAAGATTCAACAGGGTAAGGAAATGTATAGGGTTAGACACATAACAGCATAATACAAGTCCACACAAATAGCAATTGCAAACATTCAGATTTAGAAAAAAAAAAAAGACATTACAACAGAGCATTAAAGGTTGGTGTTGATTAGCACTTCCAGTTTCTTCCATTTATGTAGTTTAACCCGAGTATGTAGCTTTATGAAGTATAACTTGTTTAATCTACCTGTGTATATAAACTTCTATGAATGTTTGTCTAGTCCATGTGATCTCAGTGATCTGGAATACTTGGATGAAGAGTTCCACCAGAGTTTACAGTGGATGAAGGACAATGACATCACAGACATTTTGGACCTGACATTTACGGTCAATGAGGAAGTGTTTGGTCAGGTTAGTTTATATTTTTTTGTAAATCGCTGTATGAGTTGTACAATATTTGAACATTTCTGATAGATATCATATAGATGTCTAAGGTGATAGTCAAGTTGAATTTAAATTAGCTTAGCTATACACCAGGAACTTGCACTGCTCAGTTTAACTTCCGATAAAAAGTGCAATACAGTATTAAAGCTTAGGTTCGAACATTCATGGAAGTCGAAGATTTGACAATCTTCATCAGCATTCAAAACTGAAGAAGATTTCAATACAAAGCATTATCTCTCCTCTTTTATTTGAGGGGTCGTTTATAAGATACAGTACAGACAACAAGCTCCTGAGTTGGCCTTGGTAGGTAAAGAGTAAGAGGTATTATAAAATGAGGAATATAAAAGCATAAAAGAAAACAAGCAGTAGAGAGAGTGTGAAAAAAAGAATGGAAAATGGTACAGAAATAATAGGAATAGGTTTACAACACACAGATATAATCCATAGTGGTACAGAGTATTTGTGTGACGGTGTGTTGTAACCTAAGGGTGGCATTACCAGGCTCACAATAAAAACATTATTGTGATTGTAATGTCTTCCTTATATTGTAAAGCGCTGCGCAAACTGCGCTATATAAATCTTGAATAATAATAAATGATATGGTCAGAGACTGGGGATATGCTTCAGGAGATATTCATAGACTGGATTTTTCAAAAGTTGTGCGACTTAAACATTTGTTTTCAACACAAGTCGTGAGACAGTGTAAGCTTTTTTTTGCAGGAGCTGGACGAATCTACCCATTGGTGACACAGACAGCAGTAAAAACTTGAGAAGTCTACTTATTCCCCACACTTTAAAAAAGTTTTGCCTAGAGATACAGTTTAATTACTTTTAAAAAATGTGTGATGTCGTTGTCCAAATAACAAGAGATTTTAATCTTACGTAATATTTTAAGTAAAATTAAGATTTCTCCACAATTGTTAATACACATTGGAGCTGATTTATAAATCTTTCTCCAGTGTACAGCTGGGTGTATGCTGTTCACACAGCATTGACACCACTAGATGGCACCAAGGAGCATAGAATTTCTTATGCTCCTCAGCATAATCTAATGACGGTAGTGCCATGAGAATGCATATACGTTGGGTGGAAGATTTATATCTCAGCCTCTTAAACATAATATGCCACTGATGCTGGTCCCTATTATAGCATCTGTTAATCTTGATTGTCTGTCTTTCTGGCAGGTCACAGAGAGAGAGCTGAAGTCTGGAGGAACAAACATACAAGTATCAGAAAAGAATAAGAAGGAATATATAGAAAAGATGGTGAAATGGCGAGTGGAACGGGGAGTGGTTCAACAAACTGAAGCCCTTGTACGGGGTTTTTATGAGGTAAGTCATGAAATCTAAAACAATATTATGTATTAGATGCAGCTAAAACACGGACCAATAGTTCTTTGGGCTTACACTACGGTGCAGATACTTTTTAACAAAGCACTTGGTTGCTTCTGGTACTGCTGCTTTAGGCAGGAGATAAGGTGAGTATCCAGCAGAATGGGGATTAGTTTAATTGTAGGTGGTACTTTAAGGGTTAAGTTAAGAAAATGCAAGGATCAGGGATTAGGGGTTTACTTTGAGGTTTAGGTTACAGTTAGGATTAGCGGACAAGTTAAGACTGTTAGGGTATTAGGGATTCATTTTTAAAGTTAGGGTGAGATAGGTTTTAGGCCAGGTTAGGTTTTAAGATTTTTTTTTTTTTTGCATGACCCAGACTTTGGACATTGAAATAATTTACATTTTCTTGAAGTGGAAGTTAAAGTGACACTAAACTCAGGAGTTAACTCTTAAAAATCAATTCAAGTACAGATTCTCCTCGGGTTACAATCGTTCGGTTTACAATTATTCGACTTTACTATCATATATGATAGCAATGTATATACACTGTATGCAGATGTTCCTTGGATTGTGTATACTGTTCTGTATATATTATAGCGTAGCCTACCTTAAACTTGGCTAAAACACTTACATTAACCTACAGATAGACAAAAGCCTACTGTATTTGATAATAAAGTGTTGAATATCTCATGTATATACAACTCCTCGGTTTGCGATATGAATGCTTTACGATGGGTTTATCTGAACATGACTCCATTGTATACCGAGGAGTGTCTGTAACTTAACTATTAATAAAAATATAGCTTATTTATGTATCACTCAGCTGTAGATCAAATCATCTTGCTCCAGTGATGGACTATAATCTCATGTTTAGTTTCTATTGAGATTGTATTCTTATCACAGAGGTGAACTTGGAGTGGTAGCCACACTCCAGAAGGAAGGACAGTGTCAGCACCAATTCAGAGATGATTTGACGATCTACAGCCAAATAAGATACATTTGTGTTAATATTTAAGGTACCGGAATGGATTTTTAAGTTTTAACTCCTGAGTTTAGGGTCACTTTAAAATAAATATAGAAAATGCACACATTCAACCACAAGGTGGCACTGTTAACGCTTAAAAAATGTTCTGTAGGTACTTTTGAAAATAGATCATTTGTCATGGCATTTTCAGATATTTTGAAGTAAAATACATAAACACATCTTTATTTACTGTGTGCCAGACAGTATCAGGCATTGAGTGGTTTATTCATTAATCCATAAAAAATTTTCGATAAATAATAGTAGTGGCCAAACCTGAAGCTTCTGGACATAAATGCTTAAAAGTGTAAATCTAAATACAGTTAAGCATTAGGAAAAATAATATTTTTTTCCACTTTCTGTGCTTTCATTTAGTAATTTGAATTTGTTTTTTAACTATATAATGAAAACTTATTATTTTGCATTACAGGTTGTTGATTCAAGACTGGTGTCAGTATTTGATGCAAGGGAGCTGGAGCTGGTCATTGCAGGCACTGCAGAAATAGATCTCATTGACTGGCGTAATAATACAGAGTACCGCGGAGGTAAACTTATGAATTTTGTGTCAATGTTTGCTTTTATATCTGCATCTTTAAAAGCAGTAGGCTGAATTTTAACAGTGCCATTTAATCTAACCAGTAGTAATGGCCACTTTGCTAAGGCGTCGTTCAGATGGGCTCCAGACTATACTACCCCTCTGAAAAGCGAAGAGCAGTAGAGCAGTGGCTGGCTGGCGTTCAGGAGGTGATACAGCCACCTCGGGAATGCATTTTTTATATCCCAATGGGGATTTTCCACTGCAATACCGTGCTGCAACAGAAGCACTCAGAGGAAAGCAATGCAACTTTGAATTTGAACTCAGCACCCATTAGCTGCAAGGCAATAGTGGTTGCTACCAGGCTCCCTATAGACAGTATAGTCCAATACCTGTAGTTTCAATACTTGGCCTGGGTATGGGCATAAACCACTCTAATAGTCAAGACTGGGGCAGCTCCATCAACTGAATTCCCAGTACACTAGGCTAGGACTACTACCCATGCACTTGAGAGTTGATAAACTAAAGCAATAGATGTTGTTCATCTAGCAAAGCAAATGTTCACCTTGGATAGTGCATGTTGACTTTCCAAAGGGAATGTTAATAAGGTGAAGCTGTGTTCACGTTGAATACCTAATTATGTATCAGTAAAAAAAAATTTTAAAACAGGATTTTTGCTAGCACATGATTGGGTGTTCAAAGTCATCGTATTCACAAACCTTCACTTTACCAAGTGAACATACACTACGCTAGATGAACAGCCTGTATTTCTTTAGTAACTTCACCCTATGGTTTTCTATACACCACTGAGCAGCTTACAACCAATACAAAGTGATAAGATGTGTCCACATGACATGTACATATGAAATTTAGTGGCCAGCACTACACCGTAAGCTTCCATAAATTAAATTTTTCTGAATTCATTTGATATAGTTTGGTTGGTTACAAATCGGCGCTGTCTTATCTGCTCTTAGGTTACCATGATGGACACATTGTCATCCGGTGGTTCTGGGCAGCTGTGGAGAGGTTTAACAATGAACAGAGGTTACGACTCTTGCAGTTTGTCACGGGAACATCCAGCGTGCCATATGAAGGATTTGCAGCTCTGCGAGGAAGCAATGGACTCAGGCGCTTCTGTATAGAGAAATGGGGGAAAATAACAGCTCTTCCAAGGTAATGTGAAATTGTTCTATGTTAAATTATTATAGATAAAATGTTATTAGGGCTGAAACGATGGTGAAGATTTAGCTTGAAAGAAGTCTATTAAATGCTGTAAAGGGGCATATATTGTATAAAGTAAGTTTTAACATGAGTATTACGGCAGCACTTACCTTCTCAGGGCATAGGTGTGTTAAACAGCTAGTGGGTACAATATTACTTTTTCAGCTTCTTCTAATATTGATCAGCAGCTAGAGAACACGAGATCCCTTTATCCAGCACATGGTAATGCATACTAGCTGCACTGTGCAATACCATACCGTAATCAAACACTATTGTGCGATTAATGCTATGCTTAGGTGTGAATGGGCCCTTAAAGAACCATTTCTTGTACCATGTGTCGGTAACAGGTATATTATGAAAACAATGGAATAATACCATAAGCATAGCCCAAATGCCTGTCCTTACCATGAGTGCTAAGCCAGCATCTGACTACCCCAAAACCCAATAAGATCATGAATCAGTAACTACAAGGGCCCACCAAAGTGCATGCTATTACGCAATGCACCTCGTGTGCGCTACTGTGCATTTTCCTAGCAATACACGGGTCCTGGGATGGGCATTGGGGTGCCATTTAAATACATGTCAACACAGTGTACCCAACGCATGGTACCGCATGCTATGTGCACTGTTCAAAAGAAACAAATGTGCAATGCTCTGGTGTGAATGGGCCTTAATGTAAACTCATCAGCTGTCTGAATTTTCTCCCCCTGCCCACCACTTAATAAAACATTATGCTGTCCCTTAAACATTACAGTCAGTAAGGTCCCCCCCAGAAATATATTTATTACAAAATTGCATATCTAGCTACTATCCCTATGTTAAACTTCTACCGGTCAAGGCTTCCTTTTAGAAGTTCAAGAAATCTGATTATTAGGAGCACATTAAATCGGAATTCTGAGTATAAGCTATGTATGGGATCGCTGCAAACAGAAATTGCAAATTGCTTTTTTTCCTGTACATTTCAGAAAAATGTTTCAAGTAGTTTAATACTTCTCAATTCAATTAAAGTATGTGTATTTTGTATGGTTTGTATTACTTTTGAGCATGAGAAGCCAGCCTTCCAGGATCACGTCCAAGAAGTTTACTGAGGCCCCAGGTCAAGAAACCAATGTTTTGGAGACACACAGGTGGCAGAACTAAAGGGAACCTGCATGTTTCCAGAATGTCAGTAAGCTTTCCTGGATGTGATTCAGGCATGGATACCATGGTTTTTAGCAGTACACTCACACTGCCCATGAGGGTCTGTGTAGTATGGCTCGATTTCTCTTTGCACTTTGTCAGGTTTTTTTGCCTATCTATATCCCACACAGATATAGAATACAAACACTTGCCTAGGTAATAGTTATGAAATTTGCTTGAAAATTAGCAATCCTTTAATATCAAATAATTTGCTTTTCTTATACTGTTCTCTTTAATATAAATAAATCACATTAGCATTTTATTTGTCCTATACAGGGCGCACACATGCTTCAATCGCCTGGATCTTCCACCGTACCCATCTTATTCTATGTTACATGAGAAGTTGTTGATAGCAGTCGAGGAGACAAGTACCTTTGGACTTGAATGAGCAGATGAAAGAACTTTTCCTGACTTGACTCCACCTTCCTATTCCACAGACACAGGTTGTCGTTGTGGTCTTGTTTTCACATTTCATTTTTATTTATTTATTTTTATTTACTTCCTTTGGCGTTCTTGTTACAAAAGAAGCTACTTATAAACATGCATGGGGAACTGGTTCCCTCCAAGATCTTATCTTTGTGCTTTCCTCCTCCAGTTTCAGCAATCTACAAAGCCGTATGCAATATAAAAAAATAACAACTGGACTCGAGGCTCTGTATATCTGTGCATACCTTCCAAATAAAGTTAAACACAGCTGCATATTGCAACGCTCTGACCTAACCTTTGACTGCGTCTCTGATCAAGATGTATCCCATAGTTTATGGTCTTGTAATGCTGCATTTTTCAACAAATACACAAAGCAAATCCTGTTCCTGTTTAATTCACGTGCAATGCCATTCCATATGATTAGATTTGGTTTCTTCAGATTATCTTATTGAGAGAATTCCCTTATACAAAGCTGGAATTTACATTCACTAAACTAAATGGACTCTGGATGCCTTATAAATGACATAGACACATCTAACAGCTTGCAAAATCAAAGATTTAAAGGTTATGCACAAAAGGGTGAAGAGTTTGGAGAAGGCAGGAGAATTGAACAATCTAGGACAACATAGCTGAACTGGAGAATTTTCCTAAATCAGCTATGTTGTCCTAGATTGTTCACTTCCCCTGCCTTCTTGAAACTCTTCACCCTTTTGAAAATAACCCTGTTCAAATTGGCTGCCTTTTTAAATGAACATCAATAGCAATTCCTTAAGGTTGACACCTTTTTCATGGTTTTTCAAACAGACTATAAAGTAAAACAAACCAAAGGGCAGTTATGATACTGAAAGTATAATAATTGTTATTAAAGGAGAACTATGGGGTCAGTGTTTTTCCCCATAGTTCTCCTTGGGGTAACGGGAGGACACAAACTAGCGTCCTCCCGTTACCCTAAGCTCAGTATACCGCGAGCTACAGCTCGCGGTATACTGAGACGCCGCACCTGGATCGGATCCCGACTTAGATGACGGGATCCACCCAGCTGCGTGAGTGACAGCTGGCTCTGCCTATCTAGAGGCAGAGCCAGCTGTACCCCCCCCTCCCCCGTCCATTCCGCCAGTCAGCGCTGGCAGATCGGAGCGGGGAGAGGGGAATCCAGCCCCTCCCCCTGTCACGGCAGAGAGCCGTGACAGGATCGAGAGGTGAGGGAACCCGGTATGTGTTCTCTCTCCTCCCGATCTACTGAGCCGACCTGTGACAGTCTCATTGTCACAGGTCGGCTTAGAACTATGAGGTGAGTGGAAATCACTCATGTCATAGTTCTCCTTTAACAAATAGGATTTCCACAGCAACTAACAATAAAAGAAAACTGCTGAGTGACTTTCACATAGAGCATTGTTGTTTTTCCTCCTTAAAATTACTCTATAATAAGACAAATATGGGGAATGCCATCTCCTTTGAGAATGGTAATTCCCTGGCTATCACGCTGATGCTTTGGCATCAATGTGTTCTGAGATTCTGAGTAAGCAGATGTATAAAGATACGGTATTCTGAACCTTTCCAGACACTCATTTACAGCATGCTTGTTCTGGATCTATGAGTCAAAATTTTTTTGAGGCAAGACACAGCTAGGCAACTAGCATTTTTGAAAATGGCAGTCAAACTTTTCTCATGACATGTCACTTTCAATAAGTTACTCCATACCCTGTGTTTAATGCTTGTGTGGAGAAAACTCTGATTCAACGACTTGGAAAATTCCCCTTGCTACCACAGTTCCCTTTGCTTAAGGGTCTTGAATGACAGATGTTTTTCATTGTATTGGCCATTATCTTCAATCAGTTTTACAGCTTTTCATTGCTTATAAAAACTCAAGGTCAAATCTTTGACATAAAAAGTAAATCCATGAGTTACGGACATTGTGCACTCTTTCACAGGGAGACCCTCAGTCTACACTATGTCCTTCCTAGCGGTGACAGCAGTACATTAGATGGCAATACATCTTATTTATTAGAATATATCATGTATTTATGTAGAATTGTACCATGATACTACAGCATATGCTTTTTATTGCAAGGCAAAAAAAAAGGGAATAGACACTACCCATTAAAACCCTCTCAGAGAGCCAATCACAGTATTCTACAATCTACTCCTAATATCATATGGCCACATCCAAAACAATCAAAAAAAAATGGTAGAAGAAAAGTCCCATTTCCTAGAAACCTGGTACCTCTACACTAAATCCCAAATGCACCATTGAGTCCAAGAATGAGGCTAGACCTCAAGTAGCAGCACAAACAAGCCCAATATCAGAGAAGGTATGTTTGATACCTCCAGGAACAATGAGGCTATTGTGAATATCTCCCAGCATTTAAGCTATGTTAACTGCCCTTGATTCTATCTACAATTAAAGCTTTGGAAAATTGTATTTACATTACAGGACAAAGGATTGTATTCTAAAACTATGGGTTATGCAGCTTCAGGTGATCAGACACTAGCAAACAAAGCTTTAAGGACAGCCCTGTATAAGACCTCTCACTCCAAGAAAACCTTGGTTTTTTTTTTACTGGTGTCCTTTTGAGAAAGGACATCTTCTCTCCACTTTCTTTTTTCTCGTTTGTTCTTTTTTCAAGATTTTTTTCTACTAGCAAGATTCTCTACAGAGTCACTGAGACTAATTTTTACAGTTTCTCGATCGGTCACACCTCGGTTGTGCCCTGGGGGACTGTACCCGGACTCTGGTAGGAAAAAGATGCAGGGTCGCTTCTTTTGGGCATTGGACTCTGCATTGGTTGCTCTCCTAGGCATGTGTTGAAATGTAATGGAGTTAGCCACAGGTTGCTCTACAGGTCCAGGGCACCTGCTGTGAAACCCTGTCCCTTAAGACTCCTTAGGGAGTATGCCAACCCAGTGGGAGAGGATTGGTGAATGAGGCTTTGTTCCCAACATTCTTCATGGTTGACTAGAAGAACCACAGGAAACATTGCTGCAGTAAGTCAAGACTTTGACCTCTCTGGAAACCTGGGTGTGTTGTGCTACAGTCCCCAAATGGAGTACTCTGGTCCATTTTTTACATTTGAATTGCCAGGCTCTAGGCACCTCCGCAGCTCCTTGCTGGACCAATGTACTGCACATGCACCAATTTGGGCACATACATGAGCAGATCCAGTATCCGTTTCTCCTGGCCTCAACTCCCTCATCACAGCACAGCAATCTGCTAGAGGTTCCTGGGCTATCAGCTGCCGACAGTGATGGGTTACAGAAGGCTTAACTCTATTTGATTGGTAGTGTATGGTCGTAAGTGCTCCTAGTGGGACATTGCTCAAACTCTGATGATAGGTTCAAAGTGGGTGGGCTGGTGGAGCCTGCTGGCTTATACTCGGTTAATGGCTTAGGGGGAAAGGGTCTGCAGTATTTCCTCCAATGACTCTGATTCTGTAATGACTCTGTAATCGGGCGGCTGCTCATTCCTCAAGGGGGCCGCGGGCGGCCCTCTAACATGCCTGATTAGCGGGCCGCGTCTGCCTGATCCAGTCAGCCCAGAGACAAACAACGTCTATACTAGTGTATCCACCAGAAACTTCTTTCAGTTAACTTCTGCCTTAAAAAGTCAGGACAATAAAAATAATAGTTTTAAGTGTAGCCTGGTGGGCTGAGTAAGCCCTAGGCTTCCAATACGATACAAGACAGCCAACACATTTAAGCGCCCAAAATCACCCTCTTCATCTAGGCTCAGGATGGTGTACTGGAATGTTTGGTGGACTCGAAAATGCTTCTAGGCAGACAAATTTGTAGCAGAGATTCAGGAGAACAAATCAGTCAGTGATGTGCCAGTCTTAGTTCCTGAACCAGAGTGATCAGGCTGAAGAACTGACCCTTTTTATCATCAGAACATTTGTATACAGCCCCTAGCTTTTTAATACACTGCCTGCCCCCCCCCCCCAACAAAAGTCACCAGCTGGATTTAGCTAAGCAAATAGGTCAGAGCCTTCCACTGGATAACAAGTCTAGGTTCAGAAACAGTTGTCTACCTGAATATATTGAAGGACCAGGAGCCTCCACCAATTGATTTTTTTCTTCCCTGATGGCACGGGGATATTCCAAGATGATAATTTCAGGATTCATAAGGCACAAATTGTGGAATAAAGTGTGTCACGATCTCGGATCAGGCTCAGAGTCCAGTAGCTGAAACAGCAGGCAAATTCGTGGTATAACAGTCCGGGTTTGGTACCGGGTTTGGTACATGAGCGTAGTGAGGGAACACTGTCAGCTACAGCAGAGGCCCTGGGTTCAGATCCAGTTCCTGACAGAGTGTTTCAGGGAGCATGAGACATCATTTCCACGCATGGATTGTCCACTAAATAGTCCAGACCTTAACCACATTAAGAATCTTTGGGATGTACTGGAGAAGATTTTATGCAGTGGCCCGACTCTCCCATCATCACTATAAGATCTTGGTGAAAATGAATGCAACTCTGAATGAAAATAAATGTTATGATAATGCATAAGCTTTTGAAAAAGATGCCACAGCAAATGTGTGCCACAATCAAAGCTAAAGGTAGTCCAACAAAATATTAGTGTGTGATTTTTTTTGTTGCTCTAACAGTGAGATCTCCCTGTTATAATTACTCACTCTGTTACTGTCTATCTGAAGGTTTTGGGTAATTCATATGACCTCTGGTTGTTCAAGCACCTCATGCTGTAAACTTAATCACGCAAATGGGTGTGAAGCCTTCATAATGGTCACAGCAGATGTACAGACCAAGAACCACAAGAGCAGATATATCATGAATAGTTCCAGAGAGATATAAGAAACTGTCAGATGCTTTCTGCATTTACAAAAGGAGAACCGAAAGACAAACTAACGAAATGTACAGATCGTCTTGACACTAAGTGCCATCGCTTATAGCCAACTAATGTCAAATTTCTGTTTTGTCATTCTAATAAAGAGTTTTCCCTACCTCAATTTGGATATAATACTACAAATTCAGCTGTAGGTACTACTTAGCGCACACTTGCATATCATTTATGAAATGTTCTAGATAATCCAACACACCCATATGGTGCCATCTACTCAAACTAATAGTGCCCACTAAGGGTAAAGAGCACCACAACGGTGGCAGTTATGAAGGTTGGGAGCTCATAGTGTTGTGCATTTTAGAAATTAAAAAAAAAGTTCAACCTAAAGATTGTATTGCCAGAACATTCAGCATCCGGTTCGTCTTTAATTTAGTGACATGTAAAACTTTTCAAACCACAAGTTTTATTTTGAAGTGCAAGAGCAAACATGGACCTGAGCCAATTACCTCATTAAGTACGAAAGTGTAGTGAAGTGGTATTTCTTTCTCAGACACAGTTAAAGGAAACTATTTATCACTTCCGTTT